TATATACAGGTATTGATAAAATCCTTTATGCCTGTGCGGCGGTTGACACAGCGGTGATGAGGAGACAACACGATTATTTAATCACCTTAGTGAGACTGCTGACGTGGCCCTAAATCGGTATCCTACTGCATAGTTGGTCTTTCTGGGGGACTTTAACGCTTGTCAACAAGACTAGCTATTCCCATACCAGAAGACCGACCAACCGAAGAGAAGCGTGGAATTTTGCTTTGACGCTAGGTTTTTCTCAGATGGTTAAGGTAGCGACTAGGGTACCCGATGTAGACGGTCACACAGCAAATTGCTTGGACCTTCTGCTGACTACCGAACCAGAGAGATATGAAGTACAGGTTACCTCTCCTTTGGTACATCTGACCACTGTCTGGTGAAAGCTTTATCGTCATATTTTCCACCTGATTACGAATCCCAAGGTGTTCGACGAATATGGCGGTATAAGTCAGCTAAGTGGGATGAGATGCGACACTTTTTTGCCTCTTATTCTAGGCGGGAAGTCTGTTTCTCTTCTGCGGATCCGTTAAGCTGCGCGGTTGCGATAACGGATGTGTTGCGTCAAGCTATGGAGTATTTTATCCCTTTCTCTGACGCTCCCACCGGTAGCAAAACTCGCCCATGGTTTAACAAGCTGAAAAGCGTAAGCATTTAACGTACCTATCCTGCGTTGACGCTCGAAAGTTCCGGATATTAGCTCCAAGAAAAGAACTTTCAACCAGACCGCCAAGTCCTACAGTAAAGTATTACGGAAAGGTAGTCTCGATCGCATTAAACATATTGGCGCAAAACTCTCTGCCAGACCATCCGGCATTAGAGCTTTTTGGTCACTCGCCAAAGCGGTCGAGACAAACTTCTGTCGGCCTACACTGCCTCCGCTGGTAAAACACTGGATGGCACACTGGCGCATACGGCTAGAGAGAAAGCGGAGCTGTTCGCGTCTCTCTTTGCCCACAATTCACATCTGGACAGTGGCAGCATCGTTCAACTTAAAGTACCTCACTGCGAGACCTCTATGTCCGAGGTCCTTATCACAAATAAGGAGGTTCTTAAAACCTTGCGGTATCTAGACGTAAATAAAGCTAGTGGACCAGATGGTATAACAGCTATAGTTCTAAAGGCTTGTGCATCTGAATTATCTCCTGTGCTGACACGCTTGTTCCACCTCTCATTTGGGATTGTAATAGTGCCAAAATCCTGGAAGCTGGCCAACGTGCATCCTGTTTAAAAAAAAGGCAGCCGTGCCGACCCTGTTAATTATCAGCCAATCTCAATTACCTCCATACTCTGCAATATTATGGAGCGTATATTGAACGCCCGCTTAATGGCATGCCTAGAACAGAATGACCTCCTTAGTGACCGGCAATATGGGTTTCACCGAAATCGGTCGGTTGGGTATGAGGCGAGGCACTAGAGAACAGTGGAAAAGCACCTGCTGTTTCCCTTGATGTCTCGAAGGCCTTTGACAAAGTTTGGAACACTAGCCTTTTGAGGAAGCTTCCAGCGTACGGGTTTTTCCCCTGGTCTGATTAAATGGGTAAAGGACTTTCTGATTGAACGGTCTCTCCGGGTCATCTTCGATCCTATGGCGACTAACACCGGTATTCCTCAGGGGTCCGTTCTCTCCGCAACTCTCTTCCTGTTGCATATTAATGATCTGCTTATGCCCGGTATCTATGGGTATGCAGTCGATAGCACAGTTGTGGAAAGATACTAACCAAGTCCTCCGGCCAGTCGGGATCAAATCCAGTCCGAAAGAGAAGCAGTAGAGTACTACAGGCAGTCTCCGAATGGGGCTATGCCAATCTTGTGAAATTCAACGCCTCCAAAACACAAACGTATCTCTTCACTGCAAAAAGGAGCCAGCATACCTTGGCTCCTTCTTTCCGATATGTATCACTGGAATATACCGACCGCCTTCAGTTGTTAGGGTTTGAGACATCCTCAAATCTGAACTTCGGGCGATTCATTGAGTGCAAGGCCAAGGCAGCTGCAAGGAAGCTGGTAGTCCTTGCAAAGGTGTGGCAATACTTCACGCCGGGACAGCTGCTTACTTTATATAAAGCGCAAGTCCGGTCGTGCATGGAGTATTGCTGCCATATATTGCACGTGCATGGAGCATTAGTGAAGCAAAATGCCACCTAGCAGCTTTGGACTCAAAGAAAAGGCGTGCTAAGAGGTTTATTGGTGACCTAAATTTGGTTAAAACCAATCTTACCAGCCTCGAACACAGACGCAAAGTAGCCAGCCTTTCGGTTTTCAACAGGATGCACATTTCGGAAGTCATAATTTAATTCCTCCCTCTCCGTACGACAATTACGACGCATTCGAACCAAACAGTTCGCCACATCGTTCATCATGCGTACAGCAAAGGAATGGAATAAGTTGCCAGCGTCTGTCTTTCCATCCGATTACAGTGTGGGTGTCTTCAAGGCAAGAGTGAATAGGCTTTTGTTAAGTCAGTGCGCTTCACCATCGTAGGCTACATCACCACTTACCATCAGGTGGGATCGCAGATAACCGCTGGCTTAGTAGAATATAATACATTTTTTCATAATTTATTTAACCGATTAATAAAAATAATAGTTGTATTAACCTATAAACGATTTTTTTTTTCATGGACTTTTTATTTTTATCTCATGTTCTCCTTTAGGCTACCCTCATTTTCTACCGACTTCAAAAAGGAGGAGGTACTTAATTCGACTGTATGTTTTCTTTTATGTGTGTTACCTCATAACTTTTTTCTGGATGAACGGATTCCGATGATTCTTTTGTGTTATTAGAAAGCTGGTGCTTCTCATGTGGTTCCATATAAATTTAAACAAGGACTGACCAATAGTTTTTGAATTATTCTTAATAATTTAAATTGAAATTGTCGTACAAAATGTTTAATTTTATATCACAATTGTAAAATCCAAATCATTTTATTGTACCGTACACAGGATTGAAAAACGTAATATGCGTTATTATGCGTTTTGACAGTGATTTGAACTACCTTATATAACTTATATTATTACACATATATATTTATCTATGTATTATTAATTAATGTGCTTAAACGAAAAATATCTTAATTATTTCATTCTTCAAACAATGCACATGACCAGTTTAAATGAAAAAGAGAAAATTGTAAAGTTTTCTTCAGAATATTAAATTATGAAAATATTTATATTTTTGCTTGGATTGCAATCAAGTCAATCATACATTTTTTTTATTACACATTAATAATTATTTTATTTAAAAATTGGTAAAATAAACTAAAAACTGAGTCAATTGCAATTTTGATTGATTATCACTTAAAATAATAATAGTAGAGTTAACAAAATAACATTTTAATTATTGTACCTAAGTCACAAATTTCTAAGCAATGTATAAACATTCATAAATTTATTAATTATTATTTTATATGTTGATAGGATCTGAAGGAACAACAAATACTCACAACTAATAAACATAACGCTTTTATTATTTTCAATACATGGTGCTATATTGAAAATTACACAAAGTAGATTGTTGGCGCAGATCCCAACTAGGTCGGAACGGTAATTTTTTTATTTAATTACATGTTATCAGTTCTGTGCTATCTCACTTATAACTGTATCACACTTATAATGGAATCATCAGCAGCTATTATTAAAATAAACATCTTCAGAAAGCAAACACATAACCATCTTTTCAGATAAAAAGTAGCCTACATCTTGTCCAGCTTTAATAACTGTCTTTAGACCATTTTGCATAGATAATATACTATATAGGGTATAGATGAGCCACTCTGACAAATTATTAGGTGTCGAAAAGAGGGAAGTTTCTTGAGCGCCCTTATAGATGGCGTTGCGATTATAAATTACTGAAAATTACACTAGAGGGCGCTATCAACTAGGTTCAGTATTATTTCGTACATATTTCAATAAAAATTAAAAGGAACTGTATATAATTACTAACTAATTTGTTTTAAATAACTCTTTTTTTAATTTATTTTAGATGAGCATGGTTTAAATTTATTCGTTAATCCTTATAGAATTATTCTATATATATACCGCTGTATTTTAAAACTTCGATAGCATGATTTAGGATTCAGTATAAATAATGAATATCAGCAGTGGCGCCATCTTATAATAAAATGTGTAAAAATATTGGGGAAAATAGTACTTTGGCTGACTATGAGATGGCGCTAGTATCAACGTAAAAGCAAACTACTGAGGACTTTCATACCCCTGATTTTGCATAGATAATAACTACTGAGGACTTTCATACCCCTGATTTTGCATAGATAATATACTATTTTTGCATCGAAATTCAAGCGTAGACAGACATATCTTTTTGTTTTTTTAACTGTTTTTCTAGTAAATATTAATTTGCTAGAAAAACTGACCAAACATGCTAATACATTGCAGATATGAAATTTATTATTTGTAGGTATGGATAATAAGTTATTTTTCTTTTTTTTTTGTTTGTTATATATATATACTGTTGTTCCCACGCGCTCGTTATCACAAATTATAAGGATACAAAAACTTTTATTTCATTACTTTCTCTCGGCATCGTCTGGCATTTACCTTACAAAATTAAATTAAAATCGTAGGCGTATATTCGCCTACGGTTTTAATGGTAATGTTTTTTCTAGACTTTATTCATAATTGAAAAAAATAGGATCAAATAATAACATAACATTGTTGTAATGATTGTGAAGTGTTTATTTGTGTTTTGTAAAGAAAATTATGTGACAATAATTATATCATATTTATGTGGATTATGTTATTTGAAATTAGCGGAAATGGATTGCTCTTCAAAATAATTAATTTATTTTGCTTTTTTACTGTAAAAATCAACTTAATTCACTTTAAATATTACAATGCAACTTTACACATCTTCACCTTATATTTTTAAAACTATCATTCACCACATCTATATCCGCAAAAAAATATTTTCACAAGAAACATGTCACTTGGGATTGTGTTATAGTACTAAAACTGTATTAATTTATTTTCGCTTAGACAAATCGGCGCCTGAATAAAAATGGCAGCAGGCGATGTCACTCGCCGGGCTTCTATCACAGCACCATCTATGCATAGACGGCCGTCAGCACGCCGCGGTTCTCTCATCAAAAATCCGCAAACGCAATCACAGGTAAATTTGTAAAATTATTCCCAAAAAACATCTAAAATTCATCCCTAAAGCCAAGCGTGTTGCATGCTTGAATGGGCGTTTATTTCAATATTACTACGGCAGAGTGATAGCCTTGTTTGGAAATATAAAGACGACGGACCGGCAGTGAGCAACCCCACATATTATATTAAATGGTTCGCATTTCAAGTTGTTAAACCATTTACAAAAACCTTGGTCTATAAAGCAAACCTACCAGGGGCGTAGCTACCGCCGCATCAGCCATATCAATGATACGGGGCCCCCGGACTACAGAGGCCCCGAAGGTATGTAAGCAAAAATTCTAAGGACTTCTATGGGACAGGATGTTGGTTTGAATTGTTTGTCTGGCTTAGTTCCTAGGAGTATTAATTATAAGTAAATAATTATATATTGATTATAACTTATTTATTTATTTATTTATTTATTCATTTATTAGGATTACCAACAGAAATTACAACAGTAATACAAAGATTATTTTCTTAAAAAATTCAACACATTATAATTGTATTTCTTTTTATGGGTAATCACAGCATGCATTGATTATTTTGTAAAGAATAAAAACTGAATTACATCATTGAATAAATACAAATTATTAAAAAGAAATAGAATTATTTGACAATATTATAAATATCTTCATTATCATATTATATTATATTAATCAAACTATAAAAATCAAAAACAATTCCAATGTTATAATTAATAATTAGTTAATTCGTTCATATAAATTGATTAATTTTGATTTGATGGTGGATAAACTATCGCAATTAATATCGAGGCCAGAAATCTTCGAGGACAGTTCGTTATAAGTGCGAGCCAGTCTGGCTAAAGGGGAATACTTTCCCAAGTTAGACCTATAAAGGGATACATTGAAAAAGGCGTGTGGATTTCTAGGCATTCTTGATGGCACCTTAAAGTTTAATAATTGAACTATTGCTGGACAATCAATACTATTATAGAGCGTTTTGTATAGGAACATCATGTCTGAGATACTTCTACGCGAATGTAGTGATGTGATGTTAAATTGTGCCAACTGTCTTTCGTAGGACTCATTAGTTTGATAGCTATTCGAACGGTACGCAAGATGGCGCAACTTATAATCAATATATAACTATTTTAATTCAATGCAATCGTTTTTGTACCTTTTGTGAAAAATCTTTACCCTTCATTTGGGCCCCCCGACAAATTTTGATACAGGACAAGTAAAGCACTCTACTCCACTGAAACCTACACACTTGAGTAATTTTGAATGTCTAATATGCATCTTTTGAATCCTAAAAAGTGAAATATGCTATTTCATCACTTACTCATTCACCTTATCCTTATCAAAAACGTAAGTCATTTCTAAGTTTTTTTTTTATAGGATCGGGTGACAAGCGAGCACACAGTCCACCTGATGGTAAGTGGTTACTGTGACCCATAGACATCTACATCTATCCTCAATAAAGACTCAAGATGCAGATGCGTTGTCACCCGTGAGGACTAAGATGGAATGCCTCTTTGCCAGTAAAAAGGGTCTCCGGTTCTTTACACTCACCATACGAAAAACAGCTGCGTTAAGCTGCTATTTTACGCTGGTTTTCTGTGAGAGCGTGGTCCTTCCCCGGTCGAGCCGACCCATTCGTGCTACAACCAAAATATAGCTGCAGCATGGCTCTACCACGTACTCGTATAAAAAATTTTATAGGATAAGAGTGACATACTAGCACACAGTCCACCTGACGGTAAGTGGTTGCTATAGCCCATGCTGTAGCTTATCTGTAGCACATCTACATCTATCCTCGCTTGCGAATTAAATTTCAGATGCGTTGCCAGCTGTGAGGACTAAGATGGAATGCTTCCTTTCCAGTAAAAAGGGTCTCCGGTTCTCTACACTGAAACACAGCAGCATTAAGCTGCTATTTTACGCTGGTATTCTGCAAGAGCGTGGTCCTTCCCCGGTCGAGCCGACCCATTCGTACTACAACTATACAATTAATACAGCTGCAACATGGCTCAGAGTGACTCAAAAACTTAAAATTTAGCATAAAGATAAATTATTAGGCGTATGCAAAGGTCAAAATCTGAAAACTTCTTGAACTTGAATCTAAACGTGCCAATAACTTTGTCAATATTACCCAAAACACAAGGGTTGTCATTAAGTTCTTATAATTTTATTTAACCGATCTGAATGTCGTTTATATCGAACTTGGCCCTCTTTGTATATTAATGTTTTTGCTAGAATATTTTCCATTCATTAATGGAATGTCAGAAATTATTTAGTATTAGAAAAAAACTCCGCCTGAATTTAACTACCCAGCTGACAGAAAACAAAAATATTTTAAGTCACACCCAGTTTATATTTTTTTTTCTAAATAGAGACATAATTTAAATAGACTGAAAAATAAATTATTAATCCTGTTACCATATCATTAGTCACTTTTAAAATCCCCACTATATGAATTTATGCAATCTTAGAGTCCTAAACTTATGGGTAAATAAAATTTTGCGTCATACTATATTTACATACGACGCAAAATTTTCCACACCTCACGATGTTCTAGTTTACATTTACTGTATCCACACTGACCTCTATAGTGACTATCCACATTTTTAATACCGCAGTTTAAAATAATCACCTAGCAAAGAGCAAAATAACAGATTAGAGATATTGCTACCCAACTGTTTTGTACGTCATCAATGGCCAGATGTAAATTTATTGCTGGCACATATATAATACGAAAAACATTTGTTTCGTTTTTATACCATTGCTAATACGTTGTTTTGGCATTAAGAATCGTATGAATGGAATTATATTAACAACTTTAAAAATATACTTCTTACAATGTTTTGTTCTTTAAAAAAAAAACATTGAACAGTCGATGTACTCTTTTTATCACGATTTATTAGTTCGACTGGTACGAGTATGTACGAATGTATGAATAATACTCGTATGTATGTGTAAATGTAATGTAATTTTTGATTTAGTTTTACCCACATCTTTCAGCTGTGGTCATTGATGTATGATGATGATGATGACGGTGATAAGTTTTTAATATAGGATCTGTAGGTCAAAAGATGAGCATTTCTGACCATAAGGTCACCCAATCATTCATTCATCATTCGATACAGCCTATCAAATACCTAGTTCAGAACATAGGCCTCCCTATACATTGCCCATAGGTGTAAGCTTGTCATAGTTGCCACAATTGGCAGGCGGGTTTAATATTTAATTATTATATGTATAAATATAATTATAAAACAAAAATTTTGATAAACATTCTAAAAAGCATGTCCCATGTTGGTCTGGGACTTATTCATCAGTTCCATTTTTATGTGGAACTTTATGTTAAAAGAGTGCATAATACGTTACTCCCCTTAGCATGTCAAAAAAGGCAAATAATGGAACATTGGATTTGTGACTGCGTAGACGATATAAATAAAAATAAGAAAAAGGACAAGCAATGTGATAAAATTAGTAAAATTCTTGCTAGTCTTAATAACGTAACAACAGGTGGCATTGTTGTCAATCACTGGCTTACAATAAGTAAAAGAGAACTATAAGGCAGATTAAAATGCTAAATGGTGGATTCAAGTTCACTACTTTTCAGTTTGCGGTCCGTACGCTCAACCGTCAAGCTACTGTCGCACACAAATATTACTTATGTCTTTCGTTAAAAATATACTTACACATGTCTTCTGAAATATAATTTAAAACATGACTCTGTTGTTCACAGGAAGTGCCGTGGGACATCATAGACCGATGTGCGCTTCCAATAGTGTTGTGCCATGCTTTTGCCGTCGTGCTGTCAACTCTCCTAAATGCTTTGCATCTTAGCCAAGTATCCGTATTCACCCTCTTTCTCTGGTTTTCTATATCTGTCACTGGATCGCTGTGGTTTTATCACAACCTACAGGTACCTATGCTTTTCGTTTTTCTGTTAAAAATAGAAATAGTAGTAATAAGGAATCGCATATACTAGAAAGAGTATCAGTGTAAGGTACTTGCAATTTAAACTGAAATGGTTATAACTTTATATAATACATATTTTGAAAAACAAATAACATATAATGTTACATGATAATATATTATGTTTTTATCATGGGTTTACACTAGATTATTATCAAACAACAATTGATCATCCAAAATTATTATAATCTTGTTCAAAACAAAGGTTGGTTCCTTTTGATTTCTTACGCATCTATATAAAAAGGAGCCACTCTTCCATAACATTGTTAGTCCATTTAGGTTATAGTATCGAAATAACATTAAATTTTAACTAAAAACTTAAATGTGAATTTATTTATTCACTTAATAAATATTTATTAAAAACAAACTATCATACTTCTTGTGGTTTCCTCGATAAATGGCTATACTTAGCATATGAGCGAAAAAGAAACAGGCCTATTATTAACAATGCTAACAATACGACGCGTATACAGTTTTTTTAGGAAATTCACTGCACGTTTTATTCCTCGGACCAATATTCACTACAACAAAATGGCAAAAATATATAGTCATCTCTCAGAGAATTATACTTGCGCCACTTTTTTGTGCAGTAAGTTGACTTCAAACAGTTCAATAAGTATACTTTTCAGTCTCTGTGATTCATAGGATTAATAAATTTAAAAAACGGTAGACCCTACAGGCCATCCCTGCAACTTCGCGCTAACTTCAAATGCAAAGCGCTCCGAAGTCCACCTATTATGACGTTTTTGAGCTCTTCTTGATGTCATAAAATTTTCAAGAGCAATTCAAGTGAAATCGTTGTCGAAATTTTTCGAATGAACCGATTTGCGGCAATTAATGTGGTTTTTTGAGGTTTAGAGATGATTAGATATTGAAATCGATCGATATATTAGTTTAAAAGTAACCTCAAGCAAAAAATTTTTTGTGAATATAATTTATGAGATTTCTCAAAATCTAGCGAGCCGAATTGATTCAAATTCACATGAAATGTAATGGCAATAGAATTCTTTCGAATGCCGTGAACTGCGTTTCGATTGGTTAAGACGTTTAAAAGTTATGAGGAGTTTACACACAAAATCATTAATTTTCACAACGGGAAGTTAAAAATTTATGCGGTTGTATATTAATACGATAATAAGTTTGGCTATGACCATATGATACCTTCTCTTTTGCATCAGATGAGGGTTGTCTTCTTGGGACGTGTGTATTATTAAATAAATCTGAAATGCAATACAGTACTTGGGTTTAAAAATCTACGTTTTAGGTAATGTACCTAACACTACTTAAAGCAAGGCCCTATAAGCCCGTTCAGCCTTCAAAATATTTGTTTTTAAAGTTTCATCCCATATTGTCAAGCAATCCATATTGCTACACAGGCTAGGTCGAGTAGTTATCTGATAGCAAAATGTATTCCTTTTTTCCGTTAACAAATAAGCGAAGATATTACTGAAAAGATTTAATAATCATAAGCAATATTTGATTTTACCATTTTAGATTTTTGCTTAAATAATGTTCGCTATCTATACTAATATAATAAAGCGGAAGAGTTTTTTTGTTTGTTTAAACGTGCTAATCTCTGGAACTACCAGTCCGATTTGAAAAATTCTTTTTTATATTATAGCCAGATTCATGTAGAATAGTATAGGCTATCTAGCATTAAGCTATATAACTCAGCTAGCCTTAAATATGGATATTTGTTAAGCAAGTCAGAAGAAAAAGCACTCCCGAAATTATTTATCCGTGTATGCTGGTGATATCGTTAGGGATACGTAAATACAATGTTCTAGAAAAATATAGATCTTTACTCCATCTAAAAAAAAGTCCGCGATACCATATGTCTATTTCTTATACATGAGCCATAAATAGGTATTTTGTGACAAAAAAATATTTAAAATTTAAAAGTGATTTATGAGCGTTATTATTAGGCATGGCCTATTTATCCTTACGAACGAAAGTTACTTCATCATCAAGACAATTTTATGAAGATAAACTTTGTTCTTTATACCATGTTATTTGGACGGATAGTTTAAGAGATAATGTAAAATTAAAATAATTCAATACTTGGCTGGGCGCGCGAACGACGCTTGCTTGAACTAGGTCATGTCGCGCACCTCGGACACGTGATGACGCGGGTGAAACCGCGGGGCACAGCGAGTATTTTCATAAAATTCTAAGCATCATCAGCAGAGTCCTAAACTTTACTTCGTTTTTAACAAATTTTTGCAGATATTTCAGCATCATTTGTAAGTGATCTTGAAAATCTCACCATTTGAATTAGAGTTTAGCTCGGATTGTACCCTATTTCTATGTCAGATACATCTCAGTAATCCAGGAGTTATCCAAGGTTTCCTAAATTATACCTTTCCTCTTGTATAAATTTAATTTTCTGATGTAGTTATCTATATGCTGCAAACATCCACATACCATCACTGTGGTGTTGGACTGTGTGTTTGTTCTATAAAAAAGCTTATTCTATAAAAAAACCATAAGCATGGTCAGTAATTAAAATTTAGGATAGCCTCTTGTTCGTAGCTGTCCTAGAGTTCAAGTAAATTTTGAGTGATAAATATTACAATGTAAAATAGAATTTTAAATCAAAGATTAAATATAACTTTAAATATTATTTTAAACCTATTTTGAAAGCCTCTTTTAAATTCTTGTGGTATTTTTTATTTGTTACTGTTGTCATTACAATTACTAGGTTGATCAATAAGTTTTTGGAAACGCAATGAAACTCTATTTTTTTTTGTTTGTGTAAACTGTATTTATTTTTCAACGTAATCGCCTTTTAAGCTAATACATCTTGAATAGTGGCTTGATCCTGTGACTCCAAAAAGGCCTCTACATCACACATCTCCTCAAAAAGCTGAAACTTTTCTGCTGAAAATCACTCTGAGCTATGTAGGTCCGGAGAATATGGTCGGTGCTGCATAAACTTAAACCCAGCAGTTCGGATGGCAGCGGCTGCAACATCAAAACGATTGAAAACGGCACCATCGTGATGAAAAAGCACAATTTTTCTTGAAGTTTATTCTTTATTTCTTCGCGTAGTTATTGATCAACCTAGTAAATAACAAAGAAAACTAATGGTTTATATTTAACCCCACATGCAAAAGAGGGGTGTTATATGTTTGACCGCTATGTGAGTCAGTCTTTATGTTTGTGTGTCTATCTGTGGCACCGTAGCTTTTAAAGAGGTGAACAGATTTGGGTGCGGTTTTTTTATTTAAATTGTTTACCAAAATCGAGAAATGAGAAATTAAACGCCATATAATCCGTAAAAATTAGTTTCATTTAATGAAAATGAGAACTTTATGGGAAAATGACGTAATTTTAATTGGAAAGGAATTTACCGTGTAGTGGCGGTGTAAGAATATCTGCTACCCTAAATCATGCGGTAGGTGTTGTAAAGGCGGAAAAGGGAAACAAATCAGGAGATGGGCAGCAGCGTCTTCCTCATCATTATCATCATCATCATTACAGCCTTTCATAAGTCCACTGCTGAACATAGGTTTCCCCCAAGGAATGCCACAAAGCACGGTCCTGAGCCACCTGCATCCATCGACTTCCTGCATGTCTTACCAGGTCGCCACTCCATCTCGTGGGGTGTCGCCCTACACTTCGTCTACCGGTACGAGGCTGCCACTCAAGAACCTTTCTTCCCCATCGGTTGTCGGTTCTTCGAGCTATATGGCCGGCCCACTGCCACTTCAGCTTACTAATCCGTTGGGCTATGTCGGTTACTCTGGTTCTACTGCGTATATACTCATTTCTAAGTTTATTACGCAGAGAAACCCCGAGCATAGCCCTCTCCATAGCTCGCTGAGCGACCTTGAGCTTCCTCATACGGCCAGCAGTCACCGTCTTCCTAATAACGACTAAAATGAAAAACTGCAGTTGCCAACCCGCTTGCTAAGCGAACGTCTCCAAATGGGCCACTAGCTAATTTATTTAATTAAATTAGTTGCGGAATTTGAACCACAAATTTTATAAGAATCTGCAGCTCGAGAAAACTACCAGTAGTGGTATACGTGGTGACCAGAAAAACCTAGTCTATGCGGGAGGTGTGGCCCACGAGGCGCCCACGCGGTGAGGGCTTTTAAACAATTTCCTACGATAGCTCAGGCCCACAGGTAGTGGATGATCCAAGTTAAGTAAATTCGAAGGACCAGCGGGTAATTGCATGTTCATAAGACCAAATAAGCTCACCTGCGAAGCGAAACAGATTATTAAAGATAATGACAGGAAGCGACCCCTGACCCATACTGCAGCTATATTATGGTTGTAGCACGAATGGGTCGGCTCGACTGGGGAAGGACCACTCTCTCACAGAATACCAGCGTAAAATAGCAGCTTAACACTGCTGTGTTTCGTATGGTGAGTGTAAGGAACCGGAGACCCTTTTTACTGGAAACGAGGCATTCCATCTTAGCCCTCACGGGTGACAACGCATCTGCATTTTGATTCGTAATCGAAGATAGATGTAGATGTCTATGGGCCACAGCAACCACTTACCATCAGGTGGACTGTGTGCTCGTTTGTCACCCTATCCTATAAAAAAAAGAAAGGTAGACTATCCGTTTGTATTAATGGGATATGGGGAATTAAAACGACTTCTTTAGGTCCACATTCGGCCAATATTGTGCACTTTATAATTGATGTTTTTTATTATTACTTTACTAAACTTAGCACCCAAAAAAATCATTTGTTATTACTTATATTAACAGTATTTTCCTTTTTTTATTAAAAAGCCATAAAAAAATTTTCTCTACACAAATTTGAATACCCTCTGGCGCTGTAATTGGTTGATAAGAAAAATCGAAAAATACGTATTCATTTATACTATTAACAGAATACTTTCAGTAAGAAACTTACTGAAACAGAATACTTTTAACTTTCAGAATACTTTTCTTAACAAAAAAGTTCCACGCAAACTGTAACACCATA